TATATATATATATATATGTAAGAATATTGAGAGAGGGTGGGTGGCCAAGATGGCCAAATAGAAGCAGCTCTGGTCTGCAGCTCTCACTGGGAAGAATGAAAATGGCAAGTGAGTTCTGCATCTAACCAATCAAAACAACAGCCACAACAAATTTTCAAGTGATGGCAGTACAATAAGATAAGAATAACAAAAATTTAAAAAGTGGGGAGATGAAGTTAAGACATACAGATTTTATTAGTTTTTTGTGCTTGTTTGTATGTTTGTTTATACAGATAGTTGTTATCAGGTTAAACTAACAGGTCATAAGACACAATCTGCAAACCTCATGACAAAAACATGCAATGAATACAAATAAAATACCTAGCAAGAATGTAAACTACAGCACCAGAGAAAATCACTTTCACTAGAGGAAGACAGAAAGGAAACCAAAATGAAGAGGAGACCATAAAACAACAAGAAAACAGACAATAATATGGCATGTGTAAGCCCTTACTTATCAATTATAACTGACTGCAAATGAACTAAACTCTTCAATCAAAATATATGAACTGGCTAAATGGTTGATAAAACAAGACCCATTGATGTGTTGCCTACAATAAAAACACTTCACCTATAAATACATGCATAGACTAAAAAGAAAGGGATAGAAAAAGTTATTCCATGCTAATGAAAACCAAAAACAAGCAGAAGTTTCTATACATATATAAGAAAAAGTACATTTCAAACAAAAAACATAAGAAGTGTCAAAGAATATTATGATATAATAATAAAGGGGTCAATTAAGCAAGAAGATATAACATTTTAAAATATATATGAATCCAACAACTCTGGGGAACCAAAATACTTAAAGGAAATATTATTAGAGCTAAAGAGAGAGATAGGCATCAGTACAATAATAGCTGGAGAATTCAAAATCCCACTTTCGGCATTGAACAAGTGTTTCACACAGAAAATCATCATCATCAACAAGAATAACAAAAATCAGACTTTATCTACACTATAGACCAAATGGATCTTACAGAAATTTACAGAACATTTTGTCTTAGAGCTGCAGAATACACATTATTTTCCTCAGCAGATGGATCAGGGTCATTCTCAAGAATAGACTATAAGTTAGGTAACAAAACAAGTCTTAAAACATTCAAAATTTGAAATAATATTAAGTATCTTTTCTGACAAGAATGAAATAGATGTAGAAATTAAAAACAAGACAAATTTTGCAAACTATACAAATACATGGAAATTAAACTACATGCTCCTGATTGACCAGTGGGTCAATGAAGAAATTAAGAAGGAGATTGACAAATTTCTTGAAAAAATGATAATGGAAACACAGCATACCAAAACTTGTGGGATGCAGCAAAAGCAGTAGTAAGAGGAAAGTTCATAGCTAGATGTGCCAACATCAATGAATAATAAAAAACTTCAAATGTAAAATCTAATGAGGCATCTTAAAGAACTGAATACGTCAAAAGCAAACCAAATCCAAAATTAGAAGAAAAGAAATAATGAAGATCAAAGCAGAAATGAATGAAATTGGCACGTCTCTCCTTAGAACTATCCAGTAGGTCGGGCCTGCCTAGGAGCAAACGAAGCCCCTGAGAGCTCCACCTAGTTCACAGGATAAAATCCCACAGCAGAACCCGGGAGTCAGCAATGGCTAAACCCCAGGTGGTTGTAGCACCTGTATTAACGTCTAAGCTGTCTGTGAATGCCCCTGAATTTTTTCCGTCAGGTTATTCTTCCAATTACACAGAATCCTATGAGGATGGTTGTGAGGATTATCCCACTTTATCTGAATATGTTCAGGATTTTTTGAATCATCTCACAGAGCAGCCTGGCAGTTTTGAAACTGAAATTGAACAGTTTGAGGAGACCCTGAATGGTTGGGTTACAACAGATGATGCTTTGCAAGAACTTGTGGAACTCATATATCAACAGGCCATGTCTATACCGAATTTCTCTTATATGGCAGTTCGCCTGTGTAATTACCTGTCCCATCATCTGACAATTAGCCCACAGTGTCAACTTTCGCCAGTTGCTACTTAAAAGATATCGGACTGAATATGAAGTTAAAGATCAAGCTGCAAAAGGGGATGAAGTTACTCGAAAACGATTTCATGCATTTCTACTCTTTCTGGGAGAGCTTTGTCTTAACCTGGAGATCAAGGGAACAAACGGACAGGTTATGAGAGCAGATATTCTTCAGCTTGGTCTTCGAGAACTGCTGAATGCCCTCTTTTCTAATCCTATGGGTGACAATTTAATTTGTGCAGTAAAATTATTGAAGTTGACAGGATCAGTTTTGGAAGATGCTTGGAAGGAAAAAGGAAAGATGGATATGGAAGAAATTATTCAGAGAATTGGAAACATTGTCCTAGATGCAAACTTCAGTAGAGATGTAAAACAGATGCTCTTGAAGCCTGTGGAACTCTGGTCAAGTAACTGGGGTAGGGTCCATGCAACTTCAACATACAGAGAAGCAACACCAGAAAATGATCTTAACTGCTTTATGAATGAACCAACATTTTATAGATCTGATGGTGTTCCTTTCACTGAAGCTGATCCAGATTATCAAGAGAAATATCAAGAGTTACTTGAAAGAGAGGACTTTTTTCCAGATTACGAACAAAATGGAACAGATTTATCAGGAGCTGGTGATCCGTACTTGGATGATATTGATGATGAGATGGACCCAGAGATAGAAGAAGCTTATGAAAAGTTTTGTTTGGAATCAGAGCATAAGTGAAAACAGTAAAGTTAAATTTCAGCATATCAGTTTTATAAAGCAGTTGAGGTATGGTGATTTAGCAGAACACAGGAAAGCAAGAAAATGTGTCATACTTATACCAAATTAAGAATGTTGAGTTATATTACTAATATATGCAACTTTAATTTTGTTTAACACTATCTGCCAAAATAAACTTTATTCCCTATAACTTAAAATGTATATATATATATATATATATATAATAGTTTATTATGTACAGTTAATTCTACTGTTTTGGCTGCAATAAAGTTGATTTTGAAATAAATGAAATGTTGAAAATTTTGCTAGTTGATTAGATGCTTATCCTTTAAATTCTACTTTTCTTGAGGGGAAAAAGTCTTAGTCTGGAAATACATATTACCGCAGAAATGTAGCATCCTTTTTTAGGTAGGAGTATTATAGCTTTCATTTTAGTTTGAGGTTTAGTGTCCCAATGAATTGAATTTCAAATATGAATCACAATCTTGAAAATCTTTAGCACTAAAGTCTTGGAATATATCATTAACAACTGACATATATGCAGATGCTATTTGATACCAAGGGCTTTTTAAATGTCATGGGGGAAGAAAAACGACTTGGTGAACTCCAGCTAAACAACCAAGACTTCGCTGAAGATTTATTTCAATTCTAGAATTGTTCTTTTTTTTTTTTTTTTCAATTGACTAACGTAATCTAGGCCTTAAGGCCTAGAACATTATTCTGCTTTATTTATATGGCTTTCTCACTTTTATTTTGTAGCATGGGTTGCATCAACTTTTTTACTAGAGAATTTTGCTAGATATTTGTCATTCAAGTTTTCATCTGCTTTATAATTGATACACCTCGAGGGTCACTTTTCTAATACTTTTACTATAATGTGGCACTACCTCAACCCTAATAAATAATATTTTTACCTAATGTCAAATCTTTTTCCAGCTAACTAAAAATAAAACTTATGTACAAAAGGATTGCTTGTAAATATGCATGTAAATAGTTCTGTTAATAACCCACTGTTTTACATTTGGTACATCTGTGTCTGCTAATACAGTTAGCTTTTCACTTTTCTGCTTGTTTGTTCAGTCTGAATTAAAATTAGGCTTTGAAAATTAAAAAAGAAATGAATGAAATTAAAATTTTAAAATACAAAATATTAGTGAAACAAAAAGTTGATTCTTTGGAAAGTTATACAAATTGAGAAACCTTTGGCCTGACAGAGAGAGAGAGAGAGAGAGAGAGAGAGAGAGAGGGAGGGAGATGGTCCAATAGGAAATAAAAAAGGAGACATTACAACTGATACTGCAGAAATTCAGATCATTAGTGGCTACTATGAGCAATTATATGCCAATAAATTGGAATATCTAGAAAAAAGAGACAAATTGCTAGACACATATCACCTACCAAAATTGAACCAGGAAGAAATCCAAACCCTGAACAGACCAAAAAGAGTAACAAGATCAAAGCTATAATAAAATGTATACCACTAAAGAAAAGCCAGAGACATGATGGCTTCCCTTCTGAATTCTATGAAACATTAAAAAAAAATCATACCAATCCTACTCAAACTATTCTGAAAAATACAGGAGGTGGAAATACTTTCAAACTCATTCTATGAGGCCAGTTTTACCCTGATACTAACACTACACAAATAAACGTCAGAAAAATAAAACTACAGGCCAATCCTTCAAAGAATTTAACAGAATTTTCATGTAACCTGGCAAGCTCATTATTAAGTTTATACCCAAAGTAATATGAATTTTTGTATCACAAAGATACATACACATGTGTGTTCACTGAAGCACTATTCACAATGGCAAAAACATGGAATTAACCTAAATTACTATCAACCATGGAGTTACAAAATGAGAACACATGGACACTCAGAGGGGAATAGACACTGGGGTCTGCTTCAGACTGGAGAGTTGGAGGAAGAAGGGGATCAGAAAAAATGCCTATTGTTTACTTTGCTTGTGACCTGGATGATGAACTAATCTGTACACCAAACCTCCATGGCATGCAGTTTACCTGTATAACAAACCTGTACATGTACTCCTGACTCTAAAATAAAAATTAGAAAAAGAAATATCTGATGAAGAACTGCCACGCTCAATGTAGAGACAATTATTGGATGTCAATAAGTGGTATAACATATTGATGTATTGTGGGCAAATAAAGTAACCCTTCAATTCCATAAAGGAAATAGATATAAATAAACATCTCTTTCTTCTCTTCAGCCTTATTTTTTAAAACTAAACAGTTATAAAATAAATGCAAATTAAATATAGATATATTTAAAGCTGACAATAATTTTGAAAATAATATCAGATACTAGGAATAATTCAGTAGGTAAAGCACATCCTTTCCACTAATGGTGAAAATATAAAACGGTAAAATTCAGTAGAGAAATGTGGCCATATGTAATGATTTTTTAAAAACATAATTTATGTCTCTAAACTTCAATTTTTAGTAACTTAAACTATGGACCTCACTAGAAATGTAAGAATTTATGTAGAGTTGTTCGTAGTTATTCACAAAGAATTGTTTCCAGGACCCCCATAGATATTAAAATCTGTGGATGCTCAAGTCCCTATTACAAAAGGTTATAGTATTTTCATATCACCTACATGCCTTTTCTCATATACTTGTAATAATTTTTAGATTACATATACTTTTTAGTAAAATGTAAATTTTGTATAAATGGTTGCTATAGTGTATTTTATTTGTATTACTTTTTTCTTGTGGTATTGTTACGTTTCATTTTTTTAAAAAATATTTTTGGTCTCCAATTACTTGAATACAAGAATGTGGAGCACAAGGATACTGAAGGCTGACTGGACATTTCATTCTTTAAATAATATTCTTAACAGTATAGGAATGAACCTAATTAAGATTGAAAACATTAGGAAAACAAAAAAGTGGTACATTAATAAGATGATATGCAACTATTTTAAAATGTTTATATACATATATATGTGTCACATCACAGAAAATGTTGATAATCTATAGTATTTTGTACAATATATAATGCTAAAATAATATAACAAAATGATTTCAAAACTTGTATTCACATTTTCTAAAAGTTCCTATACATATATATGTGTTAAGTAAAACCTGTGGAAAGATTTAAACCAAAATGATAATTACGATTATCTCAAAATGCTGGCCTTGTTGTTGGTATTCACTGTTTTTCTGTATACTGCAATCCCCTAACATTCCACAATGAAGATGGCTTTCTAAAATGAAAGACGATAGAGAAAACAATGTATGTTAAGATTTTATAAGCAGAACATGGAGTATTCTGCCTTAACATTAGATACCAACTTTTCCCTTCAGATAGGAGAAAAAAAGTTAAAATGAATGAAGAAAAATACTAAAATAGATTTGGAAGCTTGAAAGTAGTACAAAAATTTTACTTAGGTTACTCCAATTTTCTGAGTAAAAATGTAAGTGATATATTTTTGTGTGTGTCTTTTGTGTGTAAGGAATTAAGAACTAACTGGAGCATCATCATTTGTAAACTTACCTATTCTTTATCTGCACACATTATGTTATTCATTCACACAATGTTTTTTTCTACATACTATGATCAGGTTCTGATATATAATAGGCTCTGTAGTATACTGATTCTAAATCTGAATTATTAAGTATTTCTTTTTTTCTCGTTACCTACACAATATTGTCACAAACAAGAGAAAATTTTCTCTAGTATTTTAATTAATATTTGACACCACACCCTAAGAGCAATACCAAATCTATTAGGTGAATGCCTCGTGCTCTGGAAAATATACCTGAAGGGCTATTAACTGAATGTAGATAGGAGTAACTTGTCTACTAATCACAATATTTTGTTATCTAAAATTTGATAGTAAGTATTAAGCAAACTGGTATCATCCTGCAAGTTTCCACTCAATTTTACATTCAGATATAAGGCAAGCCATTGCTGATTCTTGTCAAATGAATCCCTAAGCTTTTGGTGTTATTCTGAATCATCCTGTACAGTAGGAAATAAAGTGTGGTGTGATTTTTAAAACACAGATTACTTTTAAATAAGCTTTGAAAAATAAATGTGTTTTCTGAAAACCATATTGGTTTTGACACTTTTGTTGAAAATGAAATCAATTTAGATGTATGGATTTGTTTCTGTGTTCTTTATTGTGTTCCATTGGTTTATGGATCTGTTTTTATGCCAATATCATGCTATTTTGGATACTATACCTCTAGTATAATTTGAAGTCTGGTTATATGATTTCTCTAGGTTAGTGCTTTTTGTTAAGAATAGCTTTGTATATTCTAGGTCTTTTGTGCTTCCATATAAATTTTAGATTTTTTAATATTTAAGTAAGAAATATTATTAGTATTTTGATGATTGTCTTGAATCTGTAGATTCCTTTATGTAGCATGGACAATTTAACAGTATCAATTCTTCTAAACAATGAACATAAACTTTTTTTGTCCTCTTCAATTTCTTTCATCAATATTTTATCATTTTCATTATAGAGATCTTTCCCTTATTTAAATTGATTCTTAGATATTTAATTTTATTTGTAGCTATTTTAAATGGGATTACCTTCTTAATTCAGTTTTCAGTCTATTCTCTGTTGGCATATAGAAATGCTACTGATTTTTGTATGTTGTTTTTGTATGCTGGAACTTTACTAAATTTGTTCATCAGTTCTAAGTATCTTTTTATGGAATCTTGATATTTCTCAAAATAAAAGAAAACCTATCGTCTGAAAATAATGATAATTTGACTTCTGTTCAATTTGGATCCCCTTTACTTCTTTCTCTTGTCTGATTGCTCTGTCTAGGATTTCAGTACTATGTTGAATAACGGTAGTGGAAGTGGGCATTTGTGTTGTGTTCCAGATAACAGAGTGAAGAAAAGCGTTGAGGATTTCCCCATTCAGTATGATACTAGCTTTGGGTCTGTTATATGTAGCTTTTATTGTATTCTGGTATGCTACTTCTACACCCAGTTTTCTAAGAGTTTGCATTTTGAAAGGATGTTGAATTTTATCAAATAGTTTTTCAGCATCAATGAAGAGGATCATATGGTTTTGTCCTTTGTTCTGTTTATATGATGTATCACATTGATTTGCATGTGTTAAACTATCCTTGCACCTCTGGGATGAATCCGACTTGGTAATGAGTAATATTTTTAATGTGTTGTTGAATTTGTTTTGATAATGTTTTGTTGTAGATTTTTGTATCAGTGTTCATCAGAAATAGTACCTTGTAGTTTTCTTTTCTGATGTGTCTTTGTCTGCTTTTGTACTTATAAAATAAGTTTAAAAGTATTTCCTTTGCTTCTGTTTTTCAAAATACTTGAGTAGTTTTATTCATCAGTGAAGCTGTAAAGTCTTAGCCTTTTGTTTGTTAGGAGACATTTTATTATGTCTTTGATCTCATTACCCATTATTGGTCTGTTTGGGTTTTGTATGTCTTTATGATTCAATCTTGATAGGTTGAATGTTTTAGGAATTTATCCATTTCTAAATATTGTTTCCTATTTATTGGCATATTGCTGCACATCCTAACTTTAAATGGTCCTTTGAATTTCTCTGGTCTTGCTTGTAATGTCTATTTTTTATTTTAGATTATTTTATTTTATTTATGTCTTCTCTTTTTCTTAGTTTGGCTAACAGTTTGTCAATTTTGATTGTCTTCTCAAAAAGCAAACTCTTCA